ATGATACAAATATGTGATTAGTTGAATCTGAAATTAATGAAAATAATTGTTTTAAATGGTTATTGAGTCAGATATGTGGCGGCTAATGTTTGGTTTATTGAAAGCTTTTTATCTGTCCGTGTGTAAATGGGTTTGGCTGACATTTAAGTCCAGATTCCAATATCTCTGCAGTGTGGGGACTATAAATCTGATATCTGTGACGATGGTACTGCTGCTGAAGCTCCTCAAACATGAACTTACCACAGAACAGTAGTAAAAATTTCGGCATTCATTCTTTGCCTCCTTTGAGTGTCATCTGTCATGGTTGCTAAGTAACAGAGCGTTAGCTGAGTGTGGAGCGGTGGAGGCCACAGGAAGCTCGACCTGTTTGAATCCATACCCACTTTATTAAATGTGTAAAGGATAACTGATTCACGGCAAAAAATCTAAATCTAGATAAGTCTTTTTTTCTTAAAATAAGTGCATTTATTCTTAATTTGAGGAGGTAAAAGAGCCATTTTGCCAATGGAACAAGACAATTTACACTTAAAATAAGAAAACACTATAGCATTGTCTTATTTCAAGTGCATATTATCTAATTATCTTGTTTTAATAGTAAAAATACTCATTCCATTGGCAAACTATCTCCTTTATCTACTCAAATTAAGGGTAAATACACTTAATTTAAGACATTTTTACTTATTTCTAGATCGTTTTTGCAGTGTTATTTGCATTTAATATAATCTGTAGACCAACATCACTGGAAAAATCATCTAGAAATAAGTAAAAATTTCTTAAATTAAGTGTATTTAGCCTTGATTTAAATAGGTAAATGAGATAGTTTGCCAATAGAATCAGTATTTTTACTCTTAAAGTAAGATGATTCGATAATATGCACTTGAAATAAGACAATGCAATTGTGTTTTCTTATTTTAAGTGTAAATTGTCTTGTTCCATTGGCAAAATGTCTCTTTTATCTCCTCAATTAAAGAACAAATGCACTTATTTTAAGAAAAAATGACTTATCTAGTTTTCCATTTTTTCCAGTATGATTCCCTGCAAGAGATGCTGACTTTAAAGGTGGGATAAATGAATGTGAAATAGTTCCTCATCATCATCTTTGGTTAATTAAAAAAACGCTTTAAAGAGTTTGACATGACAGTTTGTAACTTTTTTTGTGGGGAATGGCTGATATATGTCATAATCCAGACAAATATCCCAATATTTTCACTAGATGAGAATTTTATCCATTCAGAATGATTAAAAATATGTCTTAATGGCACTTAAATGCAAGACTTATTTAAAGTCAAACATATATTTTATAGTTTTAAGTAATGTATCTATGTTTCTTATGTAACTTTGCTGCCTCTTGGCCAGTACTCCCTTGAAATATACGTTTTTAATCTCAAATTTTTTTTTCTGGTTAAATAAAGGTTAAATAAAAAAAAAATTAAGTTAATATAACTCTTAAACCCCTAGCTGTTGGTAGTGATCCACCTGGGAGCCAATCATTCAGCTGCTCTGCACCAGGCGCATCAAAACAAAAGCAAGATCTTTTCATGTTCTCCAAAGCTCTAATTATAAATTATAAAAAGAACAATATACACTCACCGGCCACTTTATTAGGTATACTTGTCCAACTGCTGGTTAACACTTAATTTCTAAGCAGCCAATCACATGGCGGCAACTCAGTGCATTTAGGCATGTAGACATGGTCAAGACAATCTCCTGCAGTTCAAACCGAGCATCAGTATGGGGAAGAAAGGTGATTTGAGTGACTTTGAACGTGGCATGATTGTCGGTGCCAGAAGAGCTGGTCTGAGTATTTCAGAAACTGCTGATCTACTGGGATTTTCACGCACAACCATCTCTAGGGTTTACAGAGAATGGTCTGAAAAAGAAAAAACATCCAGTGAGCGGCAGTTCTGTGGGCGGAAATGCCTTGTTGATGCAAAAGGTCAGAGGAGAATGGCCAGACTGGTTCGAGCTGATAGAAGGGCAACAGTGACTCAAATAACCACCCGTTACAACCAGGGTGGGCAGAAGAGCATCTCTGAACATTCGGATGGTAGGGTCAGAATTTGGCGTCTACAACATGAAAGCATGGATCCATCCTGCCTTGTATCAACGGTTCAGGCTGGTGGTGGTGGTGTCATGGTGTGGGGAATATTTTCTTGCCACTCTTTGGGCCCCTTGGTACCAATTGAGCATCGTTGCAACGCCACAGCCTACCTGAGTATTGTTGCTGACCATGTCCATCCCTTTATGACCACAATGTACCCAACTTCTGATGGCTACTTTCAGCAGGATAATGCGCCATGTCATAAAGCTGGAATCATCTCAGACTGGTTTCTTGAACATGACAATGAGTTCACTGTACTCAAATGGCCTCCACAGTCACCAGATCTCAATCCAATAGAGCATCTTTGGGATGTGGTGGAACGGGAGATTCGCATCATGGATGTGCAGCCGACAAATCTGCGGCAACTGTGTGATGCCATCATGTCAATATGGACCAAACTCCCTGAGGAATGCTTCCAGCACCTTGTTGAATCTATGCCACGAAGAATTGAGGCAGTTCTGAAGGCAAAAGGGGGTCCAACCCGTTACTAGCATGGGGTACCTAATAAAGTGGCCGGTGAATGATTGTCTTTGTTTATCTATTGTTAAAATTGTATTGTGACACATGCATTGTGATACATATCGTACATCCTTTCCAATGAAAGCCCAAACTTTTCAGGAGTTCAATCTACATCAAGACTCATAAAAAAAATTCCAATTGTTGCATAAAACAGTGGAATAAAAAAGGTTAAACTAGGACTAAACATATTCCATGTAAAGTTTCTCTGTAAATGTTATGTAAGGAACAAATTGGATTTAATTAAAAAATATATATATATTATTATTATTCACAGGATTGTGTATTTTCTTTCAAAACTTTGGTGAGTCAGGGATCAGTTTGTTTTTGAATAATTGCTTCTGGTGCTAGTTGTAGTGGGAGGGGGGTGTCCATTTACTTTCCAAGATTAGTCCACAGTTTCCCTGATCTTTAACAATGTCAGTTTTTCTTTATTTGTTTCCACAAGATTCAGGTATAAATATATTCAGGCATGAAAATACTGTTTTAGTCACATGTTTGTACATTACTGTGCTCTTTTTACAGTGCATTTAGTCTGCCAAGAACCACTCAAGGTTTCACTCGTACATCTATGAGTCTTGGTCTTCTTTTTTCTGTCTTTTTGTTCTTGCTTTGGTTAATCAGCATGCGTGGCCTTTTCCTCTGAAAAAAAGCAACAGAGCAAAAAGAGATTGGTTAACCAAGAGATAAAAACAGCAACTGCAGGCTTGCTGTGAATGTGGATTTTGATGTAATCTGATGTTTTTCAGCTTCCGCCCTCATTCAAGTTCAGATTTTTTGATGTTGTTTTAAGTAAAACAAAGGAATCTAAACCCAACTGTTCACATCCAGTCAACACTGGATGTTAATACTACACTATTAAGAGTTAATTCCTATTTTCATTTTTAACCAGAGGAGGCTATTAACTAGTTAATTTACTTTTGTTTTCTTTTCCACTTTATTTCTATACACTGCAAAAAAATCAAAATCTATATAAGTAATTTTTTCTTAAAATAAATGCATTTTTTCTTGAATTGAGGGGGTAAGTGAGACACTTTGCCAATAGAACAAGACAATTTACATTTGAAATAAGAAAAAACTATTGCTTAGTCTTATTTTAAGTGCATATTTTCTAATTATCTTATTTTAGGTGTAAAAATACTCATTCCATTGGCAAACTATCTTATTTTCCTGCTCAAATTAAGGGTAAATATACTTGATTTAATACATTTTTACTTAATCATCAGTCATTTTATTTTCCATAACTGGTAATAAACCTCACACTGCAAAAATGATCTAGAAATAAGTACAAATTTCATAAATTAAGTGTATTTACCCTTAATTTGAGTAGGTATATAAGAGGATTTGCCAATGAAATTAGTATCTTTACTCTTAAAATAAGATAATTAGATAATATGAACTTGAAATAAGACAATGCAATCGTTTTTTTCCTTTTTCAAATGTAAATTGTCTTGTTTCATTGGCGAAGAGTCTCACTTTTGTCCTCAATTCAAGAAAAAATTTACCTATTTTAAGAAAAAATTACTGACATATATTTCCATTTTTTGCAGTGCAGGACTACACTGCAAAAAATGGAAATCTAATTAAGCAATTTTTACTTAAAATAAGTGCATTTTTTCTCCAATTCAGTATGAAAGTGAGACACTTTGCCAATGGAACAAGACAGTTTACATTTAAAATAAGATAAAACTATTGCATTGTCTTATTTCAAGTTCATATTATCTAATTATCTCATTTTAAGAGTAAAGATACTAATTTCATTGGCAAATCATCGTATTTACCCACTCAAATTAAGGGTAAATACACTAAATTTAAGACATTTTTACTTATTTCTAGATCATTTTTGCAGTGTAAAAAGCATGCCGAAGTTCTTTCTTTTATTGGAGTAAAAAGAGTCCAAAAATAAACTCAGTGATGGCGACATTAATAGATAAACACATTGTTAGAACATAATGTATCATTATCAGTAAAAACAGTTTCAACATTTCTACGAATTAAAACACTTAGAATGGGAAACTGATCATTTATTCTGATTTTTTTGAATATGTTGAACTGGTAAGCTGTAGTCCATCTCTCAGCCACTTAACGCACCGAAACCCGGCGATAAGCAGGTATAAGAAATACATGATTGACTTTTTTTATTTACATGATTAATTTTACGGCCTGAAAGGTGGAGGAAGAAATTTAGAAATCAAAATATTATTAGGTAACTTGTGCCACTGAAAACATAAAGACATAAAGACTTCATGAAGAGAGAGAGTGAAAGTCACTCAATGGCACCAACATCCCCAAAACCAAATCAAAAGGCTAAAAAAAAAGGCTCGTCATTTCCTGCGAAGATGATGATTGATCTTCAAACCTCAGAGAGAAGTCTCATTCAGTCACTGAGGCATCAACAGCACCGCAGCTCTGAGGTAATAACTTTTCTCTCACTCTAAAAGCTGCTCTCTTATTTTCTAAAATATCCACCTAATTTTTCCTGTTTCCATCTGTTATAGTTCTCTGTTGCTTCTATAATTTGATCTGTTTATAATCTAGAGAAAAAAACTTTTTTATATTTTTAAAAGATTGTCATAATAATAATGATAAGATGCTGTTAATCATGACAGAGTGATGCTTATGATCCAGTAAGCCATGATGAGAGGGCGGCTCCTGTTTGTGCTCTGGTGCTCCAACATCATGGCAGTGGCCCACATCATCACAGGTACCGCTCACACCTTTAAGGAGGTAGCTTCAAGCGGAGCTCACTTTGTGGGTTGAGTGATATCACGGATTAGTTTTTTCCCCCTCCTCACATGAATGATTGAACTGATGACTGAGCAGATAAGCTTTCTGTCTCACATTACAGTCATTGGAAATTTTACGAAGGAGAAAATCATGTAATCTGAGTTCGATATAACCTGTGTTTTCTTATCATTTTGGTTATTTTGAATATGGCTCACACCTGGTTTTGATTTGAGTAACAATAAAAGCAGAAGTACAGTTGCATGACAACCTACACATTCTGAAGTAGAAATGTCTTAACGTTAAGAATCCTGGATTTGCTGCCAACATATCAATGCTGATATATTATTTTCCCATTTCTTAAATGTATGTTAGTGTGGAAAAATTTGAACCTCCTCTTATATTCTATACAATTAAGCAATAAGATCATTTTAGATTTTTGCAGGAACCTGAGAGTCGGGTCTTCCTTCGGTTTGTCATCAGCTGTTTGCCAAAAGTCAGACCATGTGTTGAACTTTTGTAAATTAGGTATTTTCCATAGATTCACATAAACTGATGTAAATCTGTATTTTTGTGGCAGGTTCCTAGTATGAAAGCTAAAATATCTCATCTTGAAAACAGCTCTGTATCATTTTTTCTGTCATAATCTGATCTGTGTCTGTTGCTTCATCCTTTCAATTTACATATACACACTTATATATATATATATATATATATATATATATATATATATATATATATATATATATATATATATATATATATATATATATATACATATATATAACTCTTAGGCCAGGAAAAAAAAACTGAAAAAGAAAGAGAAAACAGGCACAATTACAAAGCTAATTTTACAATAGTTTTTTCCTTGAGATAACCTGGAAAGTCTTGCAAAATGGAAGGAAAATGCAATGAAATTAGTCTTTTTTTTTTATTTAAGTCTTTCAATGTTTCCATGGGCATCTGGTAGATTCAAAATAAAGTTGGAAAAACTAACTGGGTAAAAAACAAAACAAAAAAATAAAACATTTATTAAAAGCAAACAGAAGGAATCATTGCTTTTTTTTTTCTTCCTTTGAAATTTGATTCACTCTAAGTTTATGGAGATACTGTGTAGATGTTATATTTTCGTCCTGATTCTGCTTTTTCCTTGAGATAACCTGGAAAGTCTTGCAAATTGGAAGGAAAATGCAATGAAATTTGTCTTTTTTTTTATTTAAGTCTTTCAATGTTTCCATGGGCATCTGGTAGGTTCAAAATAACTGTTTTCACAGATTGATTATAAGATAGCTGTTGGAGAAAAATAACTGGGTATAAAAACAAAAAAAAAGCAAGAAATAAAACATTTATTAAAAGTAAACAGAAGCAATCATTGCTTGTTTTTTTCTTCCTTTGAAATTTGATTCACTCTGTGTGGATGTTATATTGCAGAGCATGAATAAATATTGTCTTCCTGATTCTGCTTGTTCAGTTGGTGGGAATCGTTGCACGAGCGACTTAACTGAAACCATAACCTGTGCGTGGCACTTCAGCGATGGTGTTGTGGTCGAGTCCAAAAATTACAGCCTGGAATTTACGACACTTGATCCTCCAAAACAGTAAGTCATTTTTATTGAAATACTAGTATTTTCCCTTGATTTGAGCGGGTAAATAAAACCACTTTCCTTTGAGCTAATTATAACCATCCTTTAACCAGCTCAGATATAAACGTATTTAAGATTAGGTTTTGCTGTGTATCTTTTGAAGCGAATCTGCAAATCCAGCATAAGTCTGTGGTCAGATTAACCGCCTTTCTATACCCAGCGTAACTCAATGCTTCGACCAAAGCAGAACCTCTTTCCCTTTTCTTTCTGCAGGGTTTTTTCCTGTCCAGTTCTGCAGACTGATCAGGGTTTTTCCTGCAGCTGTGTCGTTTCATCGGATTCTTTAATGGCGTATAAGATAAACCTTTGTAATGAATCTGAATGTGAGGATTTCCTAGAACGTTTTCAACCACATCACAACAGTAAGTGTGAATTAACTGTTTTATAACATCCAACCTAGGAATTGTAAACCCAAATTACATGTGTGATACATTATTTGAAAGCTAAGGCCTTGTAGTTTCTGAATATATACTTGAAACATTAGTGAGTAAAACACAGCCCAAGCTGCATCAGTTCAAACCTGACTCAAAGTTGTTTTTTTTATTCTCAAAAAGAATAGGTCATTTTTGAACTGCAGTTATAAAGACAAGCTTACTTGTTGTGGCTGCTTTGTGATGGTAAATTTTGATATACTGCTACACTCACCGGCCACTTTATTAGGTACCCCGTGCTAGTAACGAGTTGGGCCCCCTTTTGCCTTCAGAACTGCCTCAATTCTTGGTGGCATAGATTCAACAAGGTGCTGGAAGCATTCCTCAGGGAGTTTGGTCCATATTGACATGATGGCATCACACAGTTGCCGCAGATTTGTCGGCTGCACATCCAGGATGCGAATCTCCCGTTCCACCACATCCCAAAGATGCTCTATTGGATTGAGATCTGGTGACTGTGGAGGCCATTTGAGTACAGTGAACTCATTGTCATGTTCAAGAAACCAGTCTGAGATGATTCCAGCTTTATGACATGGCGCATTATCCTGCTGAAAGTAGCCATCAGAAGTTGGGTACATTGTGGTCATAAAGGGATGGACATGGTCAGCAACAATACTCAGGTAGGCTGTGGCGTTGCAACGATGCTCAATTGGTACCAAGGGGCCCAAAGAGTGCCAAGAAAATATTCCCCACCCCATGACACCACCACCACCAGCCTGAACCGTTGATACAAGGCAGGATGGATCCATGCTTTCATGTTGTAGACGCCAAATTCTGACCCTACCATCTGAATGTCGCAGCAGAAATCGAGACTCATCAGACCAGGCAACGTTTTTCCAATCTTCTATTGTCCAATTTCCATGAGCTTGTGCAAATTGTAGCCTCAGTTTCCTGTTCTTAGCTGAAAGGAGTGGCACCCGGTGTGGTCTTCTGCTGCTGTAGCCCATCTGCCTCAAAGTTCGACGTACTGTGCGTTCAGAGATGCTCTTCTGCCCACCTTGGTTGTAACGGGTGGTTATTTGAGTCACTGTTGCCCTTCTATCAGCTCGAACCAGTCTGGCCATTCTCCTCTGACCTCTGGCATCAACAAGGCATTTCCGCCCACAGAACTGCCGCTCACTGGATGTTTTTTCTTTTTCAGACCATTCTCTGTAAACCCTAGAGATGGTTGTGCGTGAAAATCCCAGTAGATCAGCAGTTTCTGAAATACTCAGACCAGCCCTTCTGGCACCAACAATCATGCCACGTTCAAAGTCACTCAAATCACCTTTCTTCCCCATACTGATGCTCGGTTTGAACTGCAGGAGATTGTCTGGACCATGTCTACATGCCTAAATGCACTGAGTTGCCACCATGTGATTGGCTGCTTAGAAATTAAGTATTAACGAGCAGTTGGACAGGTGTACCTAATAAAGTGGCCGGTGAGTGTATATCTGTGTTAATTGTGTTTTGGTGCACGTTATGTCAATAAAATGACCTTGGTGGTTGAATTGTGGAGAATGTAAGCATTCCAACAATGCCTAACGTGTATATAATGTTAAACATTTTACCATTGTAATTTTCATGCATTCTGAGTTATTATTTGTAGACATTTTAAATCTAGTCGCTGGCGACCCCGTGGGTTTTGACGGGATAAAACACACATTTCTATTACTTTCATATTGTTTGTGTTTTTAAAAGGATGATTGATGAATTTCTTGTTGTTTTTATCAACAGTCAAGCTGACCCCTCCACCTGAACCTGAGCTCAATGTCAATCAATCAGACCTCACCATTATTTGTAAAAGTGAAAAATATAAACACCATCCCTACATTCAAAATTACCTGTTCTATGAAGTCGTCCTTCAAGAATCTCAGAGTGACACTAAACAAGTAAGACCCAATTTTTTTAAAGAACAGATCCATTTAAGACCACCATGCATTAATCCCCTGCATCACTTTTGGTGTGTTTCTTCAGATTATTAACCTCAATTCAATGAAAAATGTTTGGAATGATTCAGAATCCCAGCTGAAACCGAACACTGAATACTGCATCAAAGCCAGATTTAAGGCTTCAAGCAGGCTTCTAGGACTTGAGTCCAGTTGGAGTGAATGGAGTAAATCCATATGTTGGAAAAATGAAGACAAAGAAGGTAAAGTAGACTTTTTTTTATCATAGCTATCAATGGTTTCAACTTTTAAATCCCTTTATTGTCCCACAATGAGGAAATTTCCCTCTCTGTATTTCACCAATCCCTTTTGGGATACATTTAACAACACAAACGTTCTCAGTGCTTCTTCTTATTATTGTTAAAATGAGAGCAGAAGACAAATGCAACTTGTTCAAACATTAAATGTATTGTAGCCTAATATGGCTAACTGACAGAGCTAAAAGTGCTAAGCTGTTAGCTATTGAGCACAGTGCTTTCCTGATCTGCCCTTTTATATCACGGGCCGTTTCTCGTGTGCTCGCCAAGTATGTTCTTGAGAAGAACACAGGAATATTTGGGCCGTTTTTTTATATTTGTACTTGTGCATTCTCATGTGATTGTGTGCTCGTGAAACGTCATCAGCCACAGTTCTTGCACTGTTCCAATTCACAAGTCCCCGGATGTTGTTCTCGCCGCTCTCCATTTACCCAGCATGCATCAGAGCAGACTTGTCCGTTCTTGAGATTGACAGCTGTCCCAGCATGCACTGCGGCAGCAGCAGCTTCAGGGTTAGCGCTCACCTGTGTTCAAAGTTAAAAGTTCTCTTTTCTGTTGTTCAGTAAAGTTTGTTTTAAGATCATTTGAGGCGAGAACATCCTACTTTAAAGCATCACTATATTAGCCTCGTGAGACCATCCTGATCTCGCGAGCTTTCAAGGTTTCACTCGCTAATCAGTCTGGAGACTCTCCGTTGAAGAAAATTTGGAGCCGTTCACCAAACGAATGTCCAATCAGCGTTGGCTTTGAGGCGGGTTGAGGTGTGACGCAACGAGAAGCGCGACAGTTCAGTCTAAAGAACATGGTGGCTTCAGCCGATGAAACTAGCGTTAGCGTGGCTATCGAGCAAGTTTTATCGGAATTACAGAGTATTTCTTCACTGAAAGAAGAGCAAAACACTGCTCTGGAGGCTTTTCTCAGAGGAAAAGATGTTTTTGCTCTTCTCCCGACTGGTTTCGGCAAGAGTAGCCTGGCTGTTAGTACGTCATATGCTTCGTTGATCTGATTGGTTTATTTGGCCCGTCTATCACCAACATAGGCCAATCGGCTAACCAGTATTTTCGCCTCTTCCCAAAATTACTTCAACGGAAGGTTTCCAGATGGATATGCGGAGCAAATCCATCTGGCGGAGTCAGGTTATCACTATATGGCCCATTTACTGATTTAATACGTAATTTTGATATCATTTTACGAAGTTGAAAAGAAAGCAGCAACCAGCGGAGCTCCGAGGCTAACTCTCTGCATAGCGTGCGTGAAGTACCGCTGGCTCTGATGGGGATTTTTTTGTTTTATTTGGCAAAATGTTAATTTTATTTGTGTTGATCTGACTGTGTTAATTATTATTCCCCAAATAAATAAATAAAAATTCTGAATTTATTATCACCTAGAGACTAGTGTTAAGCTGATGCCATTTTTTGGCCCTGATACGATACCCTATACCTGGCTGTGCAGTATCGGCCGATACCATCTGTTTGAAATTGATGTGTGTGTATATATGAAGAACTGCAGACTACTTGGATGTTAAATAATTGCCATCATGGCTTTGTAAAGCTGCTGCCTACCTTTGTGAAGCAGGAATAAGACTAATACAAAGTGAATCCAGTAGAATTTTTTTATTGCCTTCCTGGAATGGTTGACAATAGTTGAATAAACTTTTGTTTCTCAAAATGGTATCGGTGCCCTATTGGTTGGTACTCGCTGATACCGATACCACCATTTTAGTGCTGGATCGGAATCGGTGCAACATTACTAGTGACTATTGATAACAGGAGGTTAAATGCAGCTCCAGACAAGCCGGGCATGTGGTAAGGTCACGAGTACTGTTCTGTTTCAATTAACCTATATTTAGAATGCTTGCTCCCGTTCTCCCCAAACATACTTTCCTGTGTTCTTCTCAAGAACATACTTGGCAAGGACACCAGTCCATACTCGCATTCTTGTAAATTGAGAAAGGGGCATGGACTTTAGCCTCTGAGGTCAGTATGTTGCCGCGGTCTTCTCAACATCAAAACTTTTTTTCAGTAAATGGGCCATATAGTAACGCTTAAAAGTATAATGTTTTCACCTCAAATGATCTTAAAATGTATTTTAATAGAACAACAACAACAGAAAAGAGAACTTTTAACTTAATACTCTGAGCTCTGTGAGCGTTAACCTGGAAGCTGCCGCTCCTGCAGTGCATGCTGGGACAGCTATCAATCTTAAGACCGGAGAAATCTGCTGTGATACAGAGCGGAGCAGCGAGAACAACATCCCTGGATTTTGTCCGTTCTCTTCTTCTTGTTATTGTGAATTGGAACAGTACTAGGGCTGAGGCTGAGGATGTTTTTCAAGTACATGAGAACTCGCAAGTACACATATTAAGAAATGTCCATGGTCTTGAAGTTACTCCCAAAAAACAGAGATTTTTTTATATTATCCATCGTGTATAAATTCATTGATCATTAGACATGCAGATGCTCCTGATTCGGCATACGGACACTGCATTGTGTTATTATCGTTGTCCAGAAAGCCACAATGTTGAGCGCCCTGCCACCGTTCAGCCAATCATATACTGTAACATCCCTGGCATGTGCAGAGCCTGAGCAGATCTGGTACCTACACCATCCCCTCTGTTTGCTTTTCAATTTTTGTTTTGTTTGATTCGTTAAGAAATGTCACGTTTTGTTTGAATTGAGACTTCATTGTGTAATTTTCATTATGTAAATGGAGGAAGATAAAGCATCCAGAAATGTTGGCAGCTCATATTGGGGATCATTTAGACAAAAATGCTTAGAAAAAGCTCTTAGAAAACCTGTATCTCTACATCAGTCTGTAATAGCAAAACGAAGTGTGAGTTTCAGATGTTCCCCCTCTGCTTACACAGAACTGTGCAGATAATTCAGGGACGTCAGCCACCTCATGTACTTTCATATCTCAGTAGTACTCATCATCTCTGTCTTATTTCAGAACAAAGATTTCTTTTACCCATTTTACTCAAAACTCTGGGTCCTGTGTGTCTAACTCTTGGAGTCCTCCTCTTTGCGTTCTACAACCCTGCTACAAGGTGACTCAGCTGTTCTATATTAAAACACTGATTACCTTAGAAGATTTATCTGAATACCATATTTTATCTCCTCATGCAACAGAATGAAGATAAAAACTCTGGCCCACACACCAACACCAGCCCCCTTCTTCAAGCCTCTGTTTCAGCAACATGAAGGAAATCTCCAGGTGAGGTCTTCATTTTATTTACTCATTTTCTGGCTTTTCTTGCACAGCAAACTGAAACATTTTTACTGGAGGTCTGAATAAGAAAGCACTACAAAAAGATAACTAAAAGTCTTGAAGTAAGAGAAATCACATTTGAATTAGTAGGGTTGGAGTAAGAGTATCCACATTTCTGGTCCAAACTGAAGGTAATTTATTTTAGATTTTGATAGTTATTTGTTGTTAGAAAGCTTTTGTAGGCCTCCCAAGTCTCCCGAAAGTTCCGGGAGTCTCCCTGATATTGATAGCTGTTCATGGATGCCCGCGAGTCGGATAAATTATCCCGGATTTTAGACTATGCGACTTAGTGTTTTTTTAATGTGAGTAAAAGCGGGCAGGCAATACAATAATTCCTGCATCATGTGCGTATTAGACCTACTTTGATGAGGGAGGGGTGTGTAGGGAGGAGGTTGTACGGTGGCCCTGAAGTGCAAACTGCGACTACGAATCTAAAAGCGCAACTACATTATGGAAATCGCAACTACATAAAGCAAAGCGCAACTACATTAAGGAAAACACAATTACATTAACCTACCGGAAAAGGTAGTTACCAGTGGGAAACATGAGACATCACTGATTGGACGACGCCGCCGTTTGACCCTTGAACCGGAAGTTGCGTCGTCTGAACGGTCTAGCTTCTTTTAAGTGTGTCTTCAGTGTACGCAAACTAACTGAAATTTCGTGATTAGTCTTGAGCATATCCAGTATCACCTCGTACGTATGTCCTGATTCAAAATATTCCTGGATAACGGCAGCTGTGTTTGGGGCGCCGACAATATCCATGTTTTCAAAAGCCGCAGCAGGCAGAATGACTTCCGGTTCAAGGGTCAAACGGCACCGTCGTCCAATCAGCGATGTCTCATGTTTCCCAATGGTACCTACCTTTTCCGGTAGGTTAATGTAATTTTGTTTTCCTTAATGTAGTTGTGCTTTTAGATTTGTAGTTGCAGTTTGCACTTCAGGGCCACCGTAAGGTTGCCTATGAAACCTGTCGGTCCAAAGCGAGGCTATGTTCAATGGGTTGGGAATTGATAAGATTTTCACGATTCCGATTCCCTTATCGATTCTGTGAAACGATTTGATTCCTAATCGATTCTTCACTCGATTCTCTTAAAGATTCCATTTAATGAAACAGCATTACTGTACAATTTCGGGAAATAAACTAATCTTCTCCTGGTTTAAATAAACGAGTGTCCCCTTTCTCTCGCTCGCTGAACTGCGGAGCAACTTCATAGCCTGTTTTGTTACATCTATTGCAATAGCTAGAATCATGTATGAATTCCAGCCACCAGTAGTTCTAATTAAACATGCTACCAATGAAGGTCTGGATTAAAAAGAAAGGCTCACTCCCTTAATAACCCCAAAGAGAACCAGGAATTGGTTTATTTCCAGAAATGGCATATGATTTACTATGAACCACATTAAGCACCGCCAGTGATATAAAACTAGCTACTACCAGAGTTGCCTTCCATGCTGGTCGCGACTTTAGCATGAGAAACACAGCATTCGTTAAAATGTATGCCATGTTGTGTGTGCAGGTGTTTCTCCATGTTGGATGTATTTCCTCACTCGGATGTAATTGCCACTTTGCAATAATTGCAAAGCTCCTTGTTGCCATCTTTCTCTTCCTTAAAATGAAGCCAAACTTTCTACAGCTTTACCCAATGGGGCAGCATTTTTTTTTCTTCCTTTTGCTCTTCTAGACCTAAACCTTGTCACGTCATGCTTGCTTACTTAATGCCATGTGCATAACTTGCGTAAAAAACGTGACATAAGTCGTGCTGCCTGGAATCGTTAAGATAATCCCTAAGCGACCTGCCAAATGATGCCACGGAATTGGAACACACGGAACTGGTTCTGAACAGGAACCGGTTTTCAATTCCCATCCCTATAACCAACTAGTTACCACTCAAAGCTCCTATGAAATGGCAGAGGTTGAATCCTCAAGTAAAAACACAAAAAAACAAGACTCAATTTAAAGCAAAATATACTAGAGTATGTCCATGTTTAGTGAAGGTGAAGAATGACTAAAGTCTTAAGATCAATATGGAGCACAACAGATGTTCTAGGCTGGAATATTGAAAGTATTGAAATGTATAAAAGACCAATACTCTTCTGTTTTGTGTTTAAGAAATACTGTTAGTTAATAAACCGTTGCTGAAACGGTGGTGGGAACATCTTCCTGAAATGAATTTTTAGAACTTGGGATGTCTGCTGTTGCAGCTTTAAAAACAAAGACAGACTTTGACCGGTCTTGTATCAACAGCATCAACAAAAACAAAAGTCAAGTAAACATTAACACCCTCATGTCTTCCATTAAATTTGCAGGAATGGCTCTCGCCGCATGGCAAACAAGTTCTGACATACAAAACTGAGGAGGACCTGATACCTGATGTTGTGACTGTTTTGCCAAAATCCAGCTCAAAGGATTTTGAGGAGAATCAAGACTTCCTCAGCCTTCCAACGACCCAACTGGTTTTCCCCCTGAGTCACACCTCCTACGTCGGCCTACCCGGGATGGACAACGCCTTCCCTCCTGCCACTTTGCTCTGTCCAGGGGATACACCGTACACTCAGTTCCCAGGTTCCTCTTTGGGGTTCAACTTCCAAGAAAAAGAGGTCTTCTCCTCTGGTATGAAAGATACGCTAGAGATCAGCCATTGCGATTCTGGCTGCAGCTGCGAGGACCTGACCCAGAGCCTGGAGTGCAGTTTACCATGCAGTCCTGTCGATGAGACTCCAACACCCAACCACTGCAACGATTACTGCATCCTCAACAAGACAGCCGAGGGAATCATTCCCATTTTACTGTCTAAACAACGTGCCAGAGACGTTCGGTCTGATTCTCTAAAGTCAGAGGGATGAGAAGTTCATCCAAGTTACCAATGAGCATCTGTGCTGCTCGTTGGTAACCTGGCATAAGCCAGATTGATACATGTTGTTAATTCTGAATTGTACACTGTATCAATCTGGGAAGCCTCCTGTAGGAAGTGGTTGCAAAAAGGGCGGATATTAGGTACTATCGTTCGAGCATATTTGGTACCTGCTTCCCATGTTGAGTTTTTAGCCAATCACAGCAGCAGTAGCAGTTGAGATGTATCACATTCTTGATTTGTTTATGGAAACAACTGACGAATCAAACTCTTACCAAATCCTCTCAAGAGGAACGCGCAAACGTCTTCCCATCCACAAAGATAAAAATCATGTGTTGCTAATTTTTTTTTAAAGAAATAGAGGCTATTCCAGCAAAAACCGGTGCAGCCATGTTTGTTTTGCTTCAGCCTTCTGCCTCTAGTTGACACTGTGAAATCATACACCTCACTGCATTTCATTGGCCCGAAACGTTTCTGTATCAGACAAACATATCTGCTGGATCCATGCAAGATTGATCTTTTTTAGGAGTTTGTGAATTAACAAATCTTTCGACAATTCATTGTGCTTCAGTGGGGAGTGGCAGCCTAGTGGTTAGGGCAAAGAGCTGTTAATCCTGAGTTCAAGCCCCACTACCACAGACTGCCACTCTGGGTGTCTGAGCAAGACCCTTAAAGCCCGATTGCTCCCCGGGTACCCCACGATGGCAGCCCACTGTTCCCCATGGGAATGGGTTAAATACAGAGGTAAATTTCTCCAAATGTGAGATCAATAAAGTTCAATTATTATTATTACTATTATTATTGCTTGAAAGGTATACTCATCGGATCAGTAAAATCAAACCTGCCATGATTGGGTCCCTGTTGAAATCAATCACTTGGCATTTAAAGCTTGGAGGTTGAAATGCTTTTACCCATTTAAAGTAAACTGGTTCTCTATTTGCAAGATAGATGCAAGTGTCTGTGACCTGTCTGTGTTTGATGCATTTTTTTTCTACCAAGATAGACTATAGTAGCAGCCATTCAAAATGGCCCTTCCCAGTCAAATGCCAACCGAATGGCAGCCCACTTCCCTGCAACTCCCAGCGAAATCCTTTCCAACTTCCAGCCACTGCATTGACCCACTCTTGCATACTTTTTTTACTCTGACTCCACCCTTTCACGGAATTACAGGGTCTGACCAGGAGACAACGCTTCTCTTAAGATCTTAATTTCCACAAATCATGACAGAAAGAATATTTTAGTACAAAAATAACAATGTTTAAAAAGGAATCTTAGGGGACCAGCCAAGGTAGCCTCGTGAGACCATCCTGATCTCGTGAGCTTTCAAGGTTTCACTCGCAGATCAGTCTGGCTACTTTCCGTTAACGAAAATTTGTAGGCGTTCACCAAACGAACGTCCAATCAGCGTTGGCTTTGAGGCGGGTTGAGGTGTGACACAACAAGAAGCGCAACAGTTCAGTCTAAAGAACATGGCGGCTTCAGTCGATGAAGCTAGCGTTAGCGTGGCTATTGAGCAAGTTTTATCGGAATTACAGAGTATTTCTTCACTGAAAGAAGAGCAAAACACTGCTCTGGAGGCTTTTCTCAGAGGAAAATATGTTTTTGCTCTTTTCCCAACTGGTTTCGGCAAGAGTTTGATCTATCAATTGGCTCCTTTTCGTCGTCGCTCTGTTAGTACGTCATATGCTTCGTTGATCTGATTGCTTTATTTGGCCCGTCTATCACCAACATAGGCCAATCAGCTAACCAGTATTTTCGCCCCTTCCCAAAATTACTTCAACGGAAGGTTTCCAGATGGATATGCGGAGCAAATCCATCTGGCGGAGTCAGGTTACAGCCAAGGACCCATCAAGGAAAATGGGGAAATTTTGAATGGCTGCTACTGTACATGGAACGTCACCCCTCCAAGCACCTGCAGTTGCAGGATATTTTACTATGGGAAATTTAAGGGGTTTTTAGGCACTTGGCTACAGAATTTCTATGTTTTAGCATTTCTTTAACTTCTGCTAAGGATAAGGGGTTCTTCACCTTTTAAGGGATGAAAAACTTTCGTCTTTACTATTTCAAAGCTTCATGTCAGCAGGACCTTTCTGATTGATGCTATGAGATGCATTATCTTCAGTATTTTTTCGCCACTGCTGAAATATTCTCTTATGGACTTGAGGAAACTTTAGTTGAAGACATTCAGGCCACATTGTTAAGTTTAAACTAACTCTGCTTTGATCCTGTTTCAAATAGGTGATGCAAAAAATCTTGATATAAAGGACATTGAAATGCAATACCTAACAGAAAATGTCTTTCTATATTTTTTTCTCTCAGATACTTTCACCTAAATATTGTACCAAATACATCTGTAGCTAAACTATTTTTTGTCACTTTGCAACACATGTCCATTTGAATGACCTGTAAATAAAGATGATATAGATTCTCCATACTTTTTGCAGCAGGAATAGAAACAAGACTGAAGTCTTAGCATTAATATATCTTTATCACATTTGTTTTCTTGTATCCAGTGAAATCTCTGTGCTCCATAAAGTACGAAAAACACAGAAAATTCTTTTTTCTATCATGCCTTCTATTTTTGTGAAGTTTAAAACCATAAACCAAGCCTTTGGGTTCATTTTATGTTCATGTAGAGTGTTTACAAATTTCTTAAAATAAAAGTGCTTACACTTAATTTGAGCATTTAAATACAATGATTTACCAATGGATAGAAAATGTTTGCCCTTAAAGTAATATAATTAGAAGTTATTCATTTAAAATAAGATAAAGGAGTTGATTTTTTTTTGTTTCCGTATTTTTTACATAAATCTTATTTCATTGGCAATTTGTATTACACACCTGCTGAAATCTATGTTAACAGGAACATATTTTCTGCTTGTTATAATTTTGGTGAGACCAATCTCAGCCAAGTTTTTGATCTCATTTGGTCTGCAGCGTCTAAATCTCGCCCACACCAATTTAATACATGTCTGGCGTGTGAAAAACTTCAAGAGACCTGATAATTCAGCCCAAGCAAGCTGTAAACATGTAAAGAAATAATATAAAGTGCTGATAAACTGGTTACAATAACAGGAACTGACTGGAACTCCATTAATCCATCCATACATTCATTGATCCATCCATACATCCAAGTATCCATCCATCCAGCTATCCATCCAACAACCCAACTATCTATCCATACATCCAACCATCCATCAATCGAGTCATCCATCCATCCCTCTATCCATCCATCAGTCCAACCACTCGTCCATCCATCCATCCATCCTTCTATCCATCCATCCACCCATCCATCCATCCAACCATCCATCCCTCCATCCATCCATCCATCCATCCATCCATCCATCCATCCATCCAATGGGAGAGGGACACCTTAGACCAGGGTTTTTTTTTTTCATTGTGATGAGACCTGAGTTAAAAGAGGGCCAACAAATATTTTAAAACACACAAATAAACAATAAAAAAGAAGATGTAACATTGATTTATTTATCTTATAAAAGTTTCAAATATTAAATCCATGATAAAATATTTAAAAATACATGTAAAGCAATAAATTCACTAAGTTAAAGTAATTTCTTGTCTTTCTGAATAATATGTTTAACTGCAGTATTTTAGCTGACAGGAAAAGGCTGGGTTAATGCCAGTGCAGCTATTATCTGTGTGATCTATGTTGGACTTTTCTACATTTTCAGAAGCAACTAATCTGGTGCAGATAGTTGATCTTTTTTCTTATCATTATGTTGAGCTAACCCTGGACACGTTTTATCATTGTGAATTACAGGCACCAAAGATTTGTTAAGAAAGACAGTGGCAGGAAGTACATGTTCTGACCACAGGATGAACTTTTATGCCCTTCTGTAGTTAAAATCGGGGTTTAGAGTGGCACTATCTTTCAAATAAAAGGGTGTAGGGTGGGCGGTAAGTCCCCTGACTTCTTTTTCTGCTCATTTATCTGTTCATTAGATGTCACCCACGTAAGTTTCCCCAGCGTGTGGTGCAGCTGAAGCTTTCCCCCACCAACATGCCCACTCGAACACATTCCAGGTACAGTCAGTGAGTTCACATTGGAAACGTGTTGGGGTTTATTATTTTCAAAGGTCAACTTGAAATGAATTACAACTATAGGAAAAAAAAATGGAAGCTCAGCAAAGCGCACTGCTGCATGTGCGTGCATGTGCGTGCATGTGCAAGATAAAATCAGAGCAATACGCCGGATTGTCTCTGCAGAGAAAGTCTTTATGACAGTGAAGCGATTTATCAGTCCCAAGGTTTCTCTCCCCGAGTGCAATAAAATTTCCGTATAAGAGTCCAGGTGGTACTATTTCCCTCCCACACAGGTTAAGCAATAAGTCACACATGGCAGAAACATGAAATATGCCCTGACGGTGCAGCTGCTTTCAAAGCTTTGTTTAACCTCAGGGTGGCATTTCTGCAGCTGCGTCACCAAGCTCTCGTGAGTCTGGTGTAACCATCAGCTGTGGGTTTTTAGGTTAGTTCAGTTTTCTTCTGTTCCTCTCTTACTATAGAATAAAACACAAACACTTATTTCTAGCCACAGTAAATGAATGCAGTGGTTAAAAATGATTAATTAAAATATCATTTTTATCTGATTATTCTAATAATCGTACAGAGATTTACTTAACAATGTTATTTTAAAACAATTGAATTAAATTCAGTTTATTTCTGTAGCACATGTCATCTCAAGGCACTTTCCAGTTTACCAGATCATACAGTCAAATTGATTCAAAGTTTTCTATCCAAGGAAAACCAGTTGATAGCATCGACACATTGACTCGATGTCAATCCCTCACACTAAGCATGCTTGTAGCGACAGTGGAGAGGAAAAACTCAATTTTAACAGGAAGAAACCTCCAGCAGAACCAGGCTCAGTGTGAGCGGCCATCTGCTGAGGCCCACTGGGGTTCAAGGAGACAGACAGTGTATTCTCATTATTATTATTTTTTTTATTCGTTTATTTGACAGGGACAGTACAATTAAACATTGCAACCAAACAGGTGGCCGATGTCCAAGCACATAAGGCTTGTAGCCATGGGCTAATTTGCAGCCTTCGTCCCTGGTTAGGCTTTTAAAAGGTGTTAGCATTAAGGGGAAGGGAAGTTAGTAACGACACACAGATGCATAAAAAAAACAAAACAAGAGAAGTAAAAAAAAAATAAAAAATGTACAGTACAAGCCAGTTTAGTGCTCACACTCTTGATTGTCTTTGAGCCGTTTTTTCAATCTTGTGGAGAAAAGTCAAATATCAGTCTGTGACTTAAGCTCCAGAAGCAAAGAGTTCCAGAGATGTGATGCT